AAGTTGACGTTAATTTAGAAGTTAGTTTGTTCCTGTTCCGTATTTAAAGTTATACCGAGGTGAATAAAAGTTGGAAGCAGAAGAAAGAGTTTGATACTCGGCCATCCACGGTACAATATTATCTCAATTCTCATTGGTCAATTAACGGTAAATATTTCAAAGCAAAAAGAAATATTTTTTAAATATCTGATTTAAATGCCAAATAAATATTTTAAAAATATATTTTCTAAATATCTGATTTAAATGTCAAATATATATATAAAACAAATATTTCTTAAATATATAAAAATCTGTCGCGTCAGACCTACATGAAACATTGCAAAAAAAATATTTCTTAAATATCTGATTTAAATGCCAAATATACAGGGTTGCTCATTAATGCGTCAAAGTGCGATATCTCAGTAAATATGAACTTTACAAGAAAATACGTCCTACGAAAGGTTTTCATGTTTAAAAGGTCCACATTTTAAAATTACTTTCCAATATACGGGGTGTATCATAAACGTGTGGTAGACTAACAACACAAAAACACTTTGAATAACACAATATAAGAACAGCAATTCAACATTAAAAAGTGTCCGATTTCAAAACTGTTTATTTGCTGCCGACGAAATTTCCCATCAAAAATACGAATTCTAAGCAATGGTTTTTTTGAACCAATGGTTCAATGCTTTTTGCCAATTTGATTCCTTTCATTATTTTTTTAGTTTTCCTTCTATATTTCTTCCTCTAAAAAAAAGGTTTTCCCGAAGCAGTTTTTCCTTTCCTAGAAACGCAAGTGCGAAACAAAACCGTTTAATAGACTTGCGGTTAATGCTTCCTAGATTTGCTTTTAATGCTTAATCAATTCGCTATTAAATCTTAATAGATTGATATGCAATTAAAACTAAGTAATATGACACGAGGACTTTATATATTTCACTATTAAGCATTTGATAATAATATTTTAGCAAACACATTTTAGTGTATCTTCGGTATACTTCAAAGAGTATATTGGACCCTAAAATTATCCAAGAACACCAAATTTCATAATAATACAATCCACCTTCACAGTAAACACCTCTGGAAATAATTGCTGAAAACTCGTGCAGAAAACCGAAGTACGAAATAAAAAATCCTGTGAACAGGCCTAAATACAAAAATTACATGCTTGGAAGCCAGAACTATCGACTAAACTACAACTCAGAAACAAGCTGCGGTTTGTTATAGTAACCGACGCTTTTAATTATTGATAGACAAACCTAAAATTCATATTTTGAAAGTTAAGTCAAAGTTCAATAATAGGAAACGCGGAAACTGTGTGGTTAGTTGAAGACAATGTCTGAGACCGATGAACAGGCGGAAAATCTTCCTGAAGACACCGAAACTGAGGTAAACAAACGTAAACTTAGCAAATAATTAAACTTCCTTCTAAAGTTCTAAAAAAAATCCTGATTCTTTTGAAAAAAAACAATTGTTTCGGGTATAATCCAGGAAGGAACGACTGATTATGCAACAGAAACGACTAGTTATTTGGACGAAGAAGAGGAGAGTGTGAAGAGTATTTATGACCAAGCGAATTTCATATCAGGCCCTAAAGTCAGCCAAGACAGTAGTTTGGGGTTGGATCTGTTAGAATTCGAGTATCCTTTGAAACAACATTGCTTACGCAAAATTCCTTAACACTTTCATAGTTTTTCCTTCGGCTACGACTGCCTCAAATACTTCAACCTCACCGTATTAGATGAAAAAACCGTCGTATTTTCTTCGGGAAACTTCATCCAGTTCCTCAATGTGGAAACAAAAGAAATCACTCTTAGACGAAGCGCACTTGGAGGAGGAATCGGCCATATCAGAGTAGGATATCAACACTCTTGTTAACTCCAAAGCAATGCAGGTTTTTCTGTAGAAAAATGGTAATCCTGAGTTTCCCTACTTTGCGGTAGCTGAATGTGGCGACAACCCCATCATTATTCTTTACGTATGGCCTACGCTGGAAATTGTCTGCGTTCTCAAAGGAGGCGCCTTCAAGACATATGCAAACTTGGACTTTAAGTATATTGGTTCAAAAGTGCCTAGATAGTGATTTGAAATCACCACGGATTTTAGCCCAGATGGTGACTTGTTGGTATCGCAAAGTGGTGATCCGGATTATTTAATCACTGTGTGGGATTGGCAGCATCATACGATTCTGCTCAGAACCAAGTCGTATGTTAACGATGTTTACAGGGTGAAATTCTCCCCTTATGTGGCTGGGCAGATCACAACTTGCGGTAGGAATGAAATTCTTTAGTTCTCAAGATAAAAAAAAAATCCCAATTTCCTCAGGTTTGGCCCATATAAAGTTTTGGAAAATGGCTTCCACCTTTACGGGGCTGAAGCTCAAAGGAGAGTTGGGCAGATTTGGAAAAACCGAGTATTCGGATATAGTAGGCGTACTTCCCATGCCCGATGCAAAAGTAGTTTTCACGAAATAATTTGCAGCAGAATGAGCTTTTTCTTGGTTTTCTAGGTCGTATCTGGCTGCTCTTGGGGAAACATCCTTGTCTGGGATGATGGGTTGATAACTTTCGAGGTTTTCAGGTCATTGAGACGCAAATGCCACGAGGCTCCAATCGTACAGTTCTACTACTTGGAAGGCGAATTATGGACAGTGAGTTTGAAACAAATCCTTCACTTTATGTTCCTCAAACTCGCAGTAAAATTCAGATTTCAATGGACGGCCACGTGAAGGTCTGGTGGTTTGAGAAAATCGACCAAGCAGACCCTCCAGATGACGATCGAGTAATTCTAGTCGATCCCACCTACGACTTCTACACGCCTGGAGTAAAACTGATGTCTATCGAGAAACGAAACTCTAGAGACAGCGGGGATACGTTTTGGTATGCCCAGGTATGTCCATTCTTCCGCTAGCGGTCACATTCACTCAGCTTCTATTCATATGCAATAGGATGGAAATGGTGGCATATGGTTGATAGACCTCAACACTGAAGACGAGCCCAAACCATCCCAGCAACTCTACAAATGCCATGGGGGGAAAGTGACTGGACTGGCCGCCTGTCCTTATGGCAATTATATCGCCACTCTAGGAGAACTAGGGACTCTTTACCTGTACAACTACATAACAAAAGATCGAGTTTTGGATTATACGTTTCCAGCACCAGGCGTTTGCTTGATTTGGCTGCCGCAGGAGGTAAAAGGTTTCTTTGGCTTGCAGCTTTCACACCTTCTGTCTTCGTAGATTGATTTGACTGGGGAAATCTTGCTAGCAGCGTTTGGGGATGGACAAATCAGGGTGATTTGCTTGCATATTCCAGATATAAATTCTGGTGAAGACCGCATTATCCTACACGTTCCCCAGGTGGGTTTTTCGCAGTTTTGATCGCTTTTGTTCCTTTTCACGGGTTTTGTTAGACAATCAAGCCCCATAGCAAGCCGGTGACGACAATGTCAGTCAATTCCAAAGGCACCATTCTGGTTTCTGCCAGTGAAGATTCCACTATTTTTGTCTTCAAAGTGGATGTCCATTCGCATCAAAGCTTGCTAATACCCATCGGATTCTTTCCAACTACCGATATCGTATCCTGTATCACTTGGCATCATGAACTGGTAAGAATCTACTAGTATCTAAAGTCTACTACTAGAATCTAAAGTCTACTACTACTAGAATCTAAAGTCTACTTCGCCTGCTGTTGAAACAACACCAATATTTCAATCAAACAGATTTAAACTGAATTTCTGGGCCGAAAATGATTTTACAGCCAGTTTGCGACTTTTTTCAACAACACGATTGATTTTTTTGCGATTTGCTTCACGTTTATTGAGACAAATTCAGGAACAGGGTGAAAAATCAGGAACTTGTTAGGACACGATTTAGATGTGTCTAGTATGCAGATTTTTTGCGGCTCTCTATTAAGAGCGTTGGGCTGTTTTAGTCAGAATTTTTCAATTAGGAGCATACAACTCAGTTTCAGTTTGTTTGTTCCCTGGTTTAATATACACAAACACAAGATGCAGCTTGAAACTACCACAGTATTGTCTATGTCCTATCACTGTCATTGATTTATTTTTTTATAACAATAATAGTAATATATAATATAAAACAGGGTGTCCCGTAAGCTCATGATCAAAAGGGTACTGCGATATTCTTTGGACCAAAAGAAGACAATCTGACCTAACTTTTATTAACAAAAAATGTCTGGCTCCTCTGCTATTGATGGTCAAAGTTCTTCAAAAAATTTATCTTTTTCGAAATATCGGGAGAATGGTACGATGTATTTTAGTGAAACAACTCGCTGTGAATTTGTTTTATGTAAGACTCATATTTTGATGAAACAATCGAGTTCAGCCGTTTTGGACAAGTGGTGAATTCTTGAGTGTCGTGGTACAAAAACTACCAGAACTTTTTAGTTGGAGGATGAAATCAACTGATTTTTTTTAGGTCGATGCACTAATCATTTGTTCACAATTTTGTGCTCTTTGTAAAATCTTGTAGCATTCATAGTTTTTGCGAAACAAAATATTTCTGTTTCCTTGCCACTTAACAATGGAAGACATTAACTGCAAATATCATGATACGAGGCATAAAATCATTGTCAATCAATTTCACAAATTCGTTTTGAATGACCTTTTCTAATGAAGAAGTGACCGACATGGTCAAAGTATTCGGGTTTTGCGAAGACAACTTGCGTGAAAGCATACGCGTTTTCGTGGCGCATATTTGCAGTAAATGTCTAGCATTGCTAAGTGACTAGAAAACAGACATATTTTTTTTACGCAAAAACTATGAATGCTACAAGATTTTACAAAGAGCATAAAATTGTGAACAAATGATTAGTGCACCAACCTAAAAAAAATCAGTTGATTTCATCCTCCAACTAAAAAGTTCTGGTAGCTTTTGTACCACGACACTCAAGAATTCACCACTTGTCCAAAACGGCTGAACTCGATTGTTTCATCAAAATACGAGTCTTACATATGAACAAATTCACAGCAACGACAATTTTTCAAGAAATTGACAAAGAAATTGATTTGAAATTGATTATGTTTAGACTACGGCGCAATTCACGCCGATTTAACTTCGAGTTTAAGCTCTTTACTGCAACCGCGATTTGACGAACTTTGTTAAATTAACTTCAACTACGGTAGCACACTGCCGCAAGCATGAAAACTTGCACAAAAATAGGATTGATTAAATAAACAGCAACATTTCTCTAATTTCGCATTTAATTAGGAAAACGAAGTTTTGCTCGGTTGCGTTCACGGTCAAATGATGCAAATCTCGTTACCTACAGAAGAACAGCCTTACACAGGCGTATCGTTTAAGCTGGAACTGCGACCGCAATGTAACACTTTCACTACATACAAGTCGCAGATCAAGAGAGATAACAAAATTCGGCAGATAGAAGAGAAGAAAGCGAAAAAGGTGGCCAAAAAACGAGAGGAAATGGAACGAATTAAAAAAGAGAATCCAGGCCTGGAAATTGATGAAGAAACTTTCCTAGGTGCTTAGTTTTCTAGCTGCTGCGGAAAATGAAATGTGATGTTTTCAGCCGACTCCGAGACCGAAGAAGAACTGGAACCGTTATTCTTCCCAGAAGTTCCTAACAGGATAATCTGGCTCAAGTACACGCCCTTTGACACCATTTGGCTTTCGATGGCAGGGTATTTTTGCTGTTGATAAACTGAGCTCTATTCTAATAAAAATGTTTTGCAGATATGACGCAGGCTACATTTATGAGTACTACATAGATCAGAAGGACCCAGTTCCGATAAAGTTCAGGTTCTTAGATGGAGCTCACGAAATGGAAGTTAGCACCTACACCTACACGTAAGTAATACGTATGCTGAGAAGAATTTGGAATTATTCCGGCAATTTTACAGGCAAAATCGGGAGTACCTAATTTTTGCCATGCAGGATGGTAGCATACGAGTGAATAAAGTCAATCCTGATGACTACACTGACCTCACCAACTACTTTACGGTAATTTGGACTTAAAAACTTGGGTAGTAGAACATTTGCATAAAAACAGCCTTCAACACTCAGATTGCAATGCACGACAACCAAAACGGTTTCGTTCCAAAGCTGTGCTTCAGCTACGATGAAAAGTACCTATTCAGCTGCGGTCACGATGGAAATATATTCTCCTATAAATTCAACCCAGAAGACTATAAATTTCCGAAAACTTTCTCCAGATTATATAGGCCGGAACATTATTGCTCCTCAGTACCAGGTAGACCACCAATTTAAATAAAAGAGCAAGTGAACAAGCCAAATTTCAGACAGTGATGTTGCCGAAAAATTGAGCCTCGAAGAGGTCAAAATCAAAGCTGAAGAAAACAAAATTCAGAAACTAGCCAATGAACACAAGAGCAAAATTCGTGATGTTCTAAAGAGCCTGAAGGAGCGATACAAGAAGTTACTGATTAGCAATTCCAAGCTACTGCCCAGCCAGGTATCGCTAGTAAATCCCAAAGTGTGGCGTGTTTTAACTGGCTTTTGCGTAGATTATCCCGAGAGAAGAACTGGAGCCTGATGACCGAGTGGCGCAGTATGTGGACCAAATATTTGCGGATAAAGTGGAGATTGTTCGACGAAAATTGGCGTTTGATGTGGAAAAATCAAAAATCCAAGTTACTAAACTGCAAAAGTATAGCAAAAAACTTCTCTTGACCTAAAATCAACAATATAAAAATTTTAGCTACTTTACAAGTCCGTGCGATCGTCACACAGTTTTAGTACATGGAATTAACAATCCCGACTGCGCCATCATAACCGTTAGGCAAAGGAAAATGCCTCCAATCTTTTACGAAATGTTCGACATTATTGAGCAGAAACTCAAAGAGGAGGAAGGCAAAGGAAGGTAGAGTAACTACAATTGACACACCATTTTAATACTATTGATGCGCATATTAATTTACCTGTAACTTTATTGGTAATAGTATTGCAAGGAAACCCAGAAAGTAAGTCTAGAGCTGAAAATAGTGTGGTATTTTAGGATAAGTTGAGAGGGTTGGTTTTGTTAATAAATATCTACTTTACTTATATTAGACCTCCGGAAAGAGCGCTTCCAGCCCAGAAAGCGATTATAGCTAAAATCGACAAAACTGAGTCGCCATTGGAGTTCTTTTTGCTCAGTTTAACTCCTGAGGACATCGCGTATCGACTAGGGCCAAAACTCACGCGGCTATTGGACAAATACCGAGGCAGACGATTAAAATGGGAGAAAAGATCTTGGGAGGCAAGTATGAACATAATGTTGAAAATCATACAGATATATTTAGTTTATTCCACAACACCTAGAATTAGAACATAAAAGTGACAGTAAAAATCCTATTCCATTAATTGGGGCTTAATCGAATATAGCCGATTCTTGAGTAGTTTACATGTACATATCATCATAACCCGGAGGCGGAAATTCGTCGTTATCGGGCCTGCGAGGTCCTCCTCGTGGGCCTGGAAGCAGATCAGGAGGCCTGAACGGGTCAAATCGAGCCCCAGGTGGTAGGGAACCTGGAGCGATTCCTAAGTTACCTGGGCCTCCTATTAGAGAATGTTAAACAAATACATTCAGTCTACTCCAGCAAATTGCAAACATGATGGCCATCGCGTAAAATTTGTTCGTATGCTTTTCATCGTAAAGTTACCAGTATAGAATATTGAAGAAGTAGGACAGACCTTCAATCCTAAGCAAAAGTGCAGTTTGTGTTTAATATAAGAACCCGTATAGGGATATCGAAAACCGTAAATGATATGAAGATTGATATTTTCCTTGTCCACAATAGGTCTGTGGACGTATAATTTCCATTAGGTATATTACCTTATATATCAGTTTTTCTTTTTAATTTAAACAATTTGATAAACTTAGATGGTTCTAGTGATGAACGCAAGTCGATTTACCTGGTAATGTTGGTCCTATTCTTGATGGTTGAAAAAGCATCCCCCCGCCAACACTAGGATTGTGATCTTGAATTACTCTCTGCAGATGAGGGAACGGGTTCAAATCAGACCGCCCATAATTGAAAGGGTCCACAAGGCCCTGATAGAGTTAAAATGCATTACTTAGTAAAAATTAACTAACTCAAGACTAAAGTCTCACCGATGCCGGAAGTGGTCCTGCAACTGGACCTCCTGGTGCTCTATAAGGATACCTAGGAGCTTCAACGCCAGAATGTCTCGAAGAAACGGATACCGGGTTAGTTTGGCAGGAACTGTCGCGTTTCTTAACAGAGATTACAACTTTGTCTATGAGTTCCTTCTTGATTTGTTCGACGATTTTCCTGTTGTCTGGGATCATTTCATCCAATGTCCCGGTCCTTTCACTCACTTGGCGTGAGTTGAGCTGAACTAGGCTAACAGTACGTTCATCCACTCGTACCAAATTGATGATGATTCCATCGTCCAAAGCGGTGGCTTTCAAATTATATAATTTTCCTTGGTACACATACCGAATAGCATATTCAGTGTTCCACCCTTTGGGTAGCGATTCGCTCTTGGATTCTGAGCCATCAATATTCTTACTTTCTCCCAAACCGATGCATTTAAAGCCATTTGAAACCAAAGCCAAGTGAGTTAGACACACTAGAATGTCCGCATTATTTTTTATATCTTTCGCGACACTGCCGTAGAGAAGGTCCCAACCAAAGAGACTGGAAGCCATTTTTGTAGTAGATTTGATCTTGCACTGCAATTTTTTTAGTTTATATGGAAAGAAAATCGGAAAGCTCAAAAAATGCAATTGTCATCTTAAGAGTTGTGATTTTAGGTTAAGTTTTTGTTTATTATGATCCAAAGTTGTGACAAGACAATCGCTTGCTGCAACGTTGCCAAACACGTTTATAAGTTGCATAAATCTTTTTATATTTTATTATTCATAAGATTATCCTTGTTATCAAATTATTTACATTTTTTTGTAAAAATCGTCCTTTATCTTTAACTTCTTTATGAGATTTTTGACTAATTCTTTGTATTTCTGATACTGACAAAGTTTAAACTGAATAAAAAGTATAAACAAAAGCCAGTTAATGTCTATGAAATCGTTCACAAAACTACAACATAAATTATTTGCTACTTTTTCATTATCTTATCAGAGCGTTTGATTAAAATATTATTCTTCCATTTTAAAAATGTTTATTTTTCATTTATTAAAAATTTAAATGTAATTTTCGCATTAATTCTTTTATTTTGAATATTTTTGTTTGATGTGATAAGTTTCTTTGAAGTTAAAATTATTTTTAAATCTCTAATATCCTAACTTTCGCATGCTTTTGAAGTAGCGCGGGAAATATTTTAATCGCATATATGACTTTATATTATCTCATAATGTGAAATTATTTTGCAAGTAATAAGAACATATTTGCTACTTAACTTTACTGTTAAAAAAGTTTTTAATCGAAAAGTTTAGAAGCGAATTTTGTTTTTAAGTGGGAAGAGTTTATGGCAAGAAAACCGGTTCCTGGAAAAAATCATCCCGACGACGAAAAATTCCTTACCGAAGCAAAACGTTCGTTTGGAGACTATCAACTGAAAGAAAGTAGCAACTATAAGGTGCCTCTTGAAGAACGAGAAACAACCGTGAAACATTACAAAAAGCTTCTCGAAACTAGAGGGAAGGTGTTAATTTTCTGACTGCGTTTTTTTCATTCTTTATTCGCTCTTCACTGTTTTTCAGCAATATACCTTGCGGCACAACTTTATTCAAACGGTCTTTGATATTAGAGATTACAAGTATAAATTCATAGAAAAGCTGCACGAAAAACAACGCAGAATTGATGAAATAAATGCGGAACTTCCGGAAGAGTTCAGGTACTAAAAATTAGTGAATTTTTCACGCGTGAAGCTAATTGTTGGCAAATTGAAGAAAAAATGGTCCTCCGATTCCCGACATCGATCCAACGGAGTTCCCGGAAGAAAAACTTCAAGTCCAAGTCGTGCTTCCTGCACCAGAAGAAGATTCAGATGAAAGCGAAGTAACCGGAAAGCCAATTTATGTGGAGGTTTATTGCTCACTATAGGTAGTTTTTGAAATATGTACTCAGATTGGCAACTTTTTTTAGAAACCGGTGGACGATTTACTGGAAAAACAACTACTAGCTGGTACAGCTGATCCAGAATTTCGCAGAAGCTTTTTCTACAGCTCTATTTCTGATGAGGAGGTTTCGGAAGTTTCCTTAATGCCTATTGAGGATCTACTCAGCTACTCAGAAAGCAACGAAACCCCATTTGAAGCTTGCCTAAAATCCGACAGATTAAACCGGTTCATAGCTACATCCTCTAAATGTCCTTGATTTTAATGGCGATTTCTCTTCAGGTTGTTATTCTTCCAAAGATTGGGCATCTCTGAAATGGAAGCAATGATCGACGATTTCAACAATTGGATTTTCCAAGCTAGAAAGCAGCGCTTGCCGATCTTGATCCGCGGCAATTTTATCGATATTTTCATAGTTTGCCTAAACGAAGAGCTGCAGATTTTGAAAAGCTCGGAAGAGCAAGAAGACAAGCTTTCCCATAGTGTAAATTCGAAACTGAGCGCTGTTCATGACATGGAGGTAATGAGAAAAAGTACACGAAGGTCGAAAATAAAATCGGAATCTTGCTACTCGAGTGCATTGGTTTACCATGCAGGACATTTTTTAATTAGAAATGCCTTATTCTAGCTATTTATAACAGTTTGCGTGCAAAAATGAAAGTTTAAAAAACAAAAAACAGAGTTTTGGGAGCGGTATTTTCATAGAAGCCTCTTAAGATATAATCATATCAACGACCCCCCTGGATAATTTCGTATTCATTTCATACGGAAATATTGATAAAGAAAAACTCTCTTAGTCCGGTTGAAAAATTACCGGACTTCTTCATTTTCACGCCAACAGTTTAGAAACAATTGCAAAAATATCCTCACAGCTTCTTGAGTTGCCGCAACTTTGAGTAATTTTGAGATACTTATGTTTACTGTTTTCATCTAGAAATCCGGACGTTATTTCGGGGCTTCCTGTATAACAGATCTTGATATCAGGTGATTAAAACAAATATATTTTAGGATAGTTTGGATTCCCTCAAAGTCGACAAGGAAAACCAAGAAATAAAACTTGAAAACTTCAAAGTCGAAGAAGGAAAGATACAGGAAAAATTCAAAGTGGCAGTGGAGACTAATAAGTTTTACGACTTCCTGAAAAAGGTTTTTAAAAAGAAGTACAAACCACCCAAAGTGAAAACTGATGGTTTGTTCTCTCTCCACGTTTTCAGGCCTTTATTAATGATTGTAACTTCTTCATTACAGATGAAAGTTCATCGTCGTCTTCATCCAGTTCGGATGAAAGCGAGTATGAAGACGACTCAGGCAGCATCGACTCTAAAGACTTCGGCTTCATCAAACAGGACTTGAATAGTTGCCCCAAAGGATGCGAACCCGCTTTGTTTAATTTCACTGTGGATCTGCGATCAAAACGGTACGCCCAGACTGGCTTTATCAGTTGGAAGCATTACTCAAAGCTGGTTTTAGGCACGAAATTGAGCAGAATGAAAGAGAGGAACTGAGAATGCTCGAAATGACCAAAAAAGAGATTGATATCGTCACTCGGAAACTGAGCATTTTGAAAAAGGGCTATGGAGAGTCTCAGGAAAAGTTGGAAGCTTTCAGAGTGAGCCCCAGATCAACCATCGATAAATATGGAAAATTACCAGCGTTTTTTTTAGAGAGAAAAACAACACAAACTAAACAATGTAAGATGTACCGTTGTGTTAAACCTAAACCAAATCTATGGACGCATTAGGCGTCAAGACATGGACATAAACGAGTTTTTGGTATTCTCTCGATCAAAACTCTCCGATCTGTACAACCAAGTCAAGCTATTGCATAACGACGCCCTGGTCGAACAAGGAAAACATGAGTAAGTTCAAACTGCGAAAAATTTGAACGTCTAATTTCCTCCCATCCTAGTACATATCTAAGACATTTGCTGCGAATGAGAAAAGACATCACCTACATGGAGCGTAAATCGCACAGTCTGAAAAGAGACATAAAAAGACTTCTGAAGATAAAGTTTGGAAAAGAGGTGGACATCAATGAGCTGGAAATGGCGGTGCTTCAAAGATCCTTCCAGAAGAATATGGTGAATGAACTGGAAGAAGTGGTGCTGAAGAAGTTGGTCTACGAGTTAAGAATTAAAATGACCGATATTCGAGGAATTTATATTAAAGAGTTGGAGCGGTGGCAGGTAAAAAGCAAAACAGCTAAAAAACGATTTGCAATAATTTTCCATTTCAAAGACAAAAATAGTTAAATGCCAGCACAATTTAACGAAAGAAATAAAAGAGAACACTAAGCGCTTGGAACTAGTAGCTGTTATAAACAAAGAGAAGAAAGATCTGGCTAGATTTGTAGACACCCAAGACAAAAGAAGAGAGCGAGTTGCATACATGGAAGCGATTCATTGCGACTTTACTAAAGGTAATGAAGAAACCCAACTATGCACTCAAAAAAATAAGTCTTCTTATTGCAGATCTCGACAAGCTGGAAGAGATAGTCAACGACCAAAACCAAACCATTCAAGATCTGAAAGAAGAAATTAGAATGTTCAAAACTAAAGGTACGTAAACAATGAAACACTTATCGGTTTAAATGATACGAGTTTTCAATTGCTCGTAGGTTTAGCCCAGGAAGTGCGCAAAAGGAGCCAAAGAATGGCAGATTATGAGAAACCACGTTCAGAAAAAGAACTGGTCAAAGAAGAAATGACTAGGTGGGTTGATTACGAAGACTACGTTAGCGACGTTGAATGGGATGAAGAAGAGGAGCTAGAAGAAGAACAAGAGCTACTGAGAACAGACATAACTATCCCTACATAGTAAATTGCTTCAAGCAACCAAAGAGTTAAAGCAAATAAAAGTATTTTCCAGCCAATTACTCGAAGGTGAAGACCTAGTTAAAGAATTAATTGATACTCTCATGAAGGACGTGGATGCAGACCTCACGCGGAAAAGCAATGAAGACTTGGTACATGAAATTCTAAGCAACATAGTGAAATGTTCCAGCACTCATGCGATGATCAATGAAATAATTGACAATTTGCCTATTGGGGAACTCAATGAGGAGCAGCGCAGCAGTATTGAAGAAACTGCAGAAAAATTAATGAGCATTCAAGAGCCACAGGTCGGTGTTTATACTCAACACATTTCTGATGTTTTACAGAATAATAAGCTTTAAATTGTGCAGGTCAATGATGAAAACGTACTGTCTCGCATTAAAGACATACTGGAAGAGGTTTTAGAGGAGGTTGTGTGTGCTGATCCTCATTATTTGATACCGGCTGTTTTGGAAAAACTATTAGACAACCTGCCTGTGGAAATGATTTCTTCGGAATCTGCTCTAGATGAAATTGGTAAAATATACTCTATCCCTATGAATTCGCACTCCTACTTAAATAATATCGTTACAGCCTTGTCTATTACAAAATCCGTTCAGGATTTAGAGCTGAACCAAGACGAGCTTCGCAAGTCCGTTGAAAGCATCTCCAGTGCTGATCAGCAGGAAATTGCAGAAATTATTAACGGAATACTGGAAAGGGTTTATGGCGAAGGCATTGATTACTTCTACGTTATCAATTCATAGGTTTATACACTGTAGTTTTTTACACACTATTATTATTTATTAGTAGGTACGTGTGTAGCCTCTTTAGGCAAGGTACTCATATACTAGAAAGACTAGTAAATATCCATGTCTTAACTTAAGAAGGGTAAATTTCGTTTAGATCAACACAAATACAACTTATGAATATAACACAAGACGATCACGATAACTCATTCAACTTTAATATTGTTAATTTTTCTCCAATAAGGACAGGTACTGTTTTAGGAACATTTCTTCTTGAGCCAAGTTCATATCCAAATGATCATCATCGACTATTGAGATATCATCTTTTAATCTTTCCCAAGCTTGTTCCTTTTCTTTCTCTTCCTTCTTTCGTCGCTTGATGCTTTCGATACTCTCTTGACTAACTAAAGACAGTAAATTATTCAACTCCACACGATTAACAAGGCATTTCAAGTTTCCTTTTTCACTTTTATAAACCGCGTTGAATCTGATATGGTACATATTAAGAGGGTTTTCACCATTTTCCAGCTTCTAAACATTTACGATTAGTGATTCCTAACTTGGAACCTGAATATTTCACTGATATACTCTGATTTTAAGAGAGCTAAGTAAGGGTTAACTGAAGTTACTCACTGTCCAACGAGGATAAATCTCCGGAAACAATGCCGTCGTTTTCCAACAGTTCTTCCGTAGCCCCTGCAATGTCTCCGTTGTGCTTCTGAAGGGCTAATTTTGCCATTCTCGGATCAAATCCTGCGTCCATTAACTACAAAAGAAACCCGCTAGCTTAGAATTTAACTGGGCGTTATTTATAAGGTATAACCTGCGAAACCAAGTCCTCTATTAAGTCGTTTAATTCTCTACTTGCAGATTGACATGAGCCTGGAGCGGGATTATCCACAATATACTGTACACTGTCCGAGATAATATTATTGCACATTTTCAGAGCTACTCGGCCAGCTTCCTTGTTATATCCCATGTTTACGAGAATCTTTAGAAAATTTGGATCAACATACTGTTTCCCATCAGCACAGACGCCCAATTTTTGCTTTTCTCTACGAATAAACACATAATCCGCCTGGTAACTACAACTAGGGCTTACACACTTTTCATAGATTTCCTCAGCTAAAGCTTTTTTTCGGGCTTCATATCTTTTGCGACGGTTTTCACTTATATAGTCAGCAGCTTCGCTCACATTCCCTTTGGTTGCCCTCAACCCTAGTCTGGCTTCAGCAGCGGAGAATCCTGAATTCTTTTAAATAGTATACAAAGATATCCAGGGATGTTGCACATAGGTTAGTTAATTTTTGCAAGCTTAGCAGTTTATGCACTAGTCATTATTACACTTATAACTTACCTATCTCTAAAAGCATAGCAATACTTTCTTCATTCACTGTTAGATCGCGAAGTTCTTTTTCAACCTGTTTAAACAATGTCAAGGATTCCGACCTGCGGTTTTGGTGATACAAAAGAACTGCTTGTAAAAGATGAAGTCTCGTGAACAGACATTGTTCATTACCTAAGAAGTAAAAATAGTTGAGCTCAATGAAAAAAAAGCTAAATATAAAAAGTGTTTAATTTAGTCTGAAACTGATTTTTTTAGGAACACCCTCAACTGTGACATACAGCCTGATTTTATTACTTACTGGCATTGCCTTTTAGAGCAATGATTCGTTCCATATTTGAGCCATAAGTTTTGCAAAATTTTGCCTCACATTTCTGCAATCTGTCTTGAGCTTCTGGAAGATGTGTAAAACTTTGAAGGCATAGATAGCACCAAGCAATGTCCAGGTCTAAAAGAGCGTGATTGTCGACTAATTTAACAAAAGTTGAGCTGCACTTTCTACAAAATAGGAATTTTACTTTGAAATTCTTTATAAGTCAATTGGCACTGTACTCAAATTCTTGATCAGCTTCCAGGAAGAAGACCAAAGCGGTTGAATAATCATCTTTTTTCAAAGCAGCCCTGCCTTTTTCGTGTAAAGCTAAGGCAACTACAAGTGCTGTTTTTTCAGCCGTTGGTATTTGCAATGTGTTACCAAACTGATCTTCTAACTAGAAAGAGCATTCGTAAAATTGAAACCTAGTTTCATATATAATTGCTCTAAACCTACTCTCATATAATCGTTATCAAGTGCTAATAACTGAGAGTCAGTTCGCACTGTTTCCAACTGTTTTACAGCATCTTCATTCTTTGCAAACTGTTCCGGCGATTCTGCTACAACAATCGCTAGCATTTGTTGGCCATTTTTCACCCTTTGAGTATTTAAAGAGTCGGTGTTATTTAGAACTCTACCAGCACTGATCAACTTCACTCTGTAATGTTCCATTGAAAGAAGTCAAGGCTTGATTATTCCAGCAATTAGTTATTTGAAACGCTTACTGTTCAATGGGCACAAAAATATCCTGACAAATGTTTTCCTTCAAATCGCTTCCAGTACAGTCGAGCATTACTTCTTTAACAATCATTATGGGTGGTTTTCCGTGATCTACCACTTTAATTTTCAGAGTTGCAACTCCCGATTCTTGAAATCGGGTTTTATGCTTCAAATTTTCCAACGCGTTCATTTGCAGTTCGCTAATTATTTGCAAGCACTGCTCGAAAGGAAATTCGTATTTCTTGGAAACTTCTACGCTTAAATTCTGCCAAGTAAAAAAACAAAACCATTATCAAACGTAAGTTGGAAGTTTGTGCTTCTTGAACAAAAAAAGGTAATAAAAGCATGAAGCAATTTAAAAAAGACGAATCGTATACAAGATTAATATACGCCGTGGCTTTTAGCTGATAAAACGGAATATCAACATATAGCAGAAATAGAAAGAAGGGTGCAATGAGGAGTTGAAAATTAAAATAAGAATTTGACCACATGCAAAAAGAGAAGAAATTTTTCTTCATTTAAAAAAGTAGAAAATCAACTGGAGGACCAAAAATTTAAAGTAGTTTCATTCCTATAAGTTACAGAATTGTAATAAGACTTGGAGAATAATAACTTTATGCAATACAATCAGTGGTTTTCCCAATTCAACTACAATAAATCTTTAATGTTCTGAGTTCCGCTATTTACCCATTAAAAGCTGATGAATACAAGCATAAACAAACGTTCTAAACATTCAAGCAAATTTCAGCCAGAACTTACGGAAATTTCAGCCTTACAGCTCCCATTCGCTTCACTGAAGTAAGGGGGTAGCCACAGCTTGATTTCGTCTTTTCGCAGAATATCACGAACTTGGATCAGAAGATCTTCCTTCTGAGAAGTACCCGCAGACATTTTAAAATGCCTCAAATAACAAAATAAAAGATAAGCAAAACATGCACAGTTTCTTTGTTTGTAAACACAGCTGGATGTAGAGGAATGAGTGAAATCCCCTACTGATTATTGACTGCTTTCTTTTAAATGTCTTTCGTCCACTCTATTTTTGAATGTTAATTGCGATTAAACGGTCTATGGGCCTGTTCTGAGTACTTTGGCTGAAAAATGTCCATTAATTTACATGTAAAATTAATCTTATACCAAAATATACAAAACACCAATCATTTACAAAGGTTAGAGGCACTACCACAGACTGGCACCAGAGACAAGAAATAATTATCTCTTGTCTCTGACTGGCACTACTAATCCACACAGGTGACTGAGCAATCTCATAGACGAAGAGAGAAGTGTGATCTGTGGCCTAATCAGAGGCAAGGGCGAGTGAGAAAAGAGGATCACAAATAAAAATTGGAATCAAGCCTTTGCCGGTTGCTGCAAAAACTAGCGGAGCAAGGATTTCGCTCGGGCCATTCAAATACAAATATATTTTCAATTGTTTGTGATAACTTGAGATTAGGTATTTTTGCAGGTAACCTTCTATTTTTTCTTGATTATACCTATTTAAATTCAGTGTCTTTTATTTAAAATTGCCTAAAAACAAACAGGGAAATCTGCTGTTGCCAGTGCTTGACGTATCTGGCAACAGATAGATGAAAGAAGCAGACTCTGCTATTTAACCGCATTCTGCGAACCGCATATCCAGAAATTGAATAATTATGAAGAAAGGCTTATTTAAATTATTAGGCTCTCTAGGCTACTTAGTCCAATACGGTTGTGTCGTGCACTGTACATTTGAATATCTAGGGGACTTTGTGCTGGTAGGCGAAATATCCCATGTTTTTTGGGGGCACCCAGTAACTTATTCTTTTAGTGCTCCGGCCCTTCTATGGAGCCCACAATTTATTCCAATGATATCCTATTCACCGAACACCTTTCGGCTCTTACGCAAACGATACGGAAAGGTGATATAATCATTGCTAAGTGCCCAACGAACCCTAAACAGCAGATATGTAAAAGAGTGGTAGCCCTTCAGGTAAGTCCAATTTAAGACGCTTCAAAGTTGAATTATAAAATTAAGACTTAAGAATTAATCTGAGTTCTATTTCAGTTTGGCCAGATGAAAAAAAAGATTTATTTATTACGGTATTTGTATCTCTTTTAGGGTGAAAAAGTGAAAACTGGTTTTGCAAGTTATGAAGTAGTCCCCATAGGACACATATGGATCCAAGGTGATAACGTGTCTAATTCGACTGATAGCCGATCTTATGGGCCAGTCCCATTAGGACTGGTTAGAAGCAAAGCTGTTTGCAAAGTGTGGCCCCCCAGCAGTATATCGGTGTTGAGTGGTAGTTAATGTTTTTCGTTTAAAATAAGCGTTCATAGTACAAATTTAATTTACTTGTGAAAAAGCTCTTTACCTATAGATTCCAAACCTTTCGATTATGTGGGCCCCAGTCCACGTTTTTTAACCTGCAATACATTAATCGATTTAATATATTGCAAGTTCAACAACCAAATGCGAATGTTCCTGTTTATCTGTAAATAATGGAAATAATAGTTCTGTCGACCATTGTACTACCCAATGGTAATTTTGTTCAAAAACTTGTATATTTTCATAGGACAAGCAGATGAATAAACGCCAATTTAATGTTGAAATATCCTGGGAGATTTTGTTTAATGTATGTATTTCACTTAAACCATGCACTTTAGTTTTAATAGTGCAGCATTCTGAAATTCCGCAAGTTTCAATATTTTCTTGGCTATTTCGCAGCGACTTCTACGCATAGTTGTAAAATTCATGGAAATAGGTTTGGAAACTTAGTCGATTATTACAAAAATATGCGATATACATATTCGAATAATTTATTACTCGTAACGATATATTCAAACTGGCCTTAATGAAGAAATTGTCTGAAGAAGTAACTAAAGTTATAATGTTGCAATATGTACATAAAGAGCATAAAATATGTAAATTGTAAAACAGGTATATAATTGATAGAATGCTTTTCAAACACTAGAACAGCAGTTGAGATGAGTACAAAAAAATCCTCTTCAGCAGGTCCTTGTCAAATGTTTGATTTATTTAAAAATTCAGATTTAAATAGGTTTGCTCTAGTAGTGACATGTATTTCTAATCTAAGCACAAATCTACAGGTGCGAAAGTGGATGAAAATCTTCAAGAAAAATTTGACCAAACCTACTATAAAGTGTAGTATTGCCTAGCATGTTATAATTATTAAGTTACTTTAATTATCACAGTAATAGTGATGTCAGTCCCCTTGGGGAGTTTGCTACACAGTTGATATTTACAAGTATTACTAACCAAGTTATTGCAAAGTAAGCGGCAACATACACGCTCACAATCAGTGCTCGTTAATTAATTAATATTGATTTAAATAAGCCTAAGTTTAAGATGTATGCTACTAATCAGTCAAATTTTTCTTCCTAAATTCCTAAGTGCTAAACACAGTTGAGAAAAACAGCTTACTTAAATTTAGATATATTTTGGTTGTCTGCGTTACGAATCCTTACAGCTAAATTATTTACAGTGAAATCATAAAACAGCGTGAACATTCCAATACATATGTTGTTGGGCTTGAACACAATAATTGATTGTATATATTCAAATTATATTGGTCGATTAGCAGGTTTGTATTCGGTTCTCATACAGCTGATTTAAAATAGTAATACTTTTTACAAGTGAGAAGTAGTATTAATCGTTGTGGGTGAAATGGGTGGGACTAACATAGAATCATCACTGAATTTTTATAAATTCGCTATAGATATGCACTTTGAAGCACCACCCGTTTTATTTGAACGATTAGCTGAATAATGTACATTTAATGCTTAAGGTTAAATATTGCTAAGAATCATATTCAAGTACCAATAGCTTTAATTCGTTCTATCTACGTCTTTTTTGGTGGGTTTTAATCTGAGCTACTAACGTTCTACTTTTAATTTTTGCAAACATATTCAGATAAACTATAAATAGACCAAACACACTTGATGATTTCCATTTTTTACGCTATAAAATCAATCTATGTATTGCAGTATTTTAAAACACTAGATTTTTTAGATTAAACAACTCACTTCTTTCGTGGATATGTGGCTGATAATGAGCTGTATTGTTATATCAACAATACTTGATTAATTGACTAGATAATGAACCAAGCATACAATGAGCAATAAAAAATAGCCGTACGCCACATTTACATAGACGATTAGTGAAAACCGGAAACATGTACATGAAAAGTCCATCATTCAGTGTTTGGAAAACCAATGTAAAAGGTATTGCTAAAAGCATTGTCATTTAAAATTCCCATATGTGTAAAGCATGTTGTTATGTTTGTTATTAGTTTGCATCTTTTCGGAAACCAGTTACTTTTGTGGTCCCATTGTATTCTTTATGATCAATTAGCACTAATTATCGTCATAATAGGCGTTATTTTTAATCATTTTTTGAAGCAAACGGTTTAAAATTTCAGGTTTTTCGGTTGAAAATGATTTTCGTTTAGCAACCCTTTAAAAAATGTCGCGTCTATTAGTATTTTAATTCACAAAATTCAACACGTTTTTAAAGCCTTATTGTGTTGCACGATTCAAGATTCCGAGAGTGTCATTATTGAGTTCATCAGGTGAAGAAGTCAACATTAAAAAAACAAAACATTTAAAGATAGCTTGAGATCGTGATCTAATTTAACTATCACAGACAAAATAAATCCTCACACCTTAAACAGTGATAGGATTGCCAATATTCTTATTCACCACATAGAATTTGTGCTTGTTGCCAAAATAGCCCCAAAGCACCGCGATATTTTCTATAATTAAATTAAACGGTAGCACAGCCACCGCACTCATCAGACACAGGCACAACTTAAGAAACCCGAATCTATACACATTGAATGACTTGAGAACGCCAAAAATGAACATGTAAATATTGACGCCCCCGATAAAAACTACCGTAAAATCCATTATTGCTGGGCATGGTATGGGAAACCAAGCCGCTAATAAAATATTGCTTACTGAAAGAGGCAATGTTACCCAGCTGTAGCACGCACATCCAAGCAACCACTTGTACCTTAACGGTATGGCTTTGGAGTGGACTACCAGGAGGATACCTTGGATCCATCGCTTCCGTTGTTGGATGAAATCCATGAGGGTGAATGGGGATTTCTCCCACATATCACCTTCGATAAAGTTAAAACTGTATCCCATGCTGTAGGCTTTCATTGCGAAATAACAGTCTTCAGCGATAGAACCATCGCGCCCGTTATCGAATGAAACTGCTCTTTCAGCTGCTACCTGGAAAAGAAAGCATAATTATTAATTGTTAAATTAAAACTGTTAAAAGTAAGTTCTTAGTACTTATGATTTTAAGATCTGGTAATTTTTGTACAGAAGAATTTGGTAACGTGCCTACTCTTTTAAAAAAATCGGATTTGCAGCCCCTAGACTTAATGCTCGGTTTATCTTAGCCTTTTTAGAATATTTTGTAGAAGAATCATTACATTCAGATTGTGAACGTTTCTATAAAAAATTGATGGCCTTTTACAAAGACCATTAAATTTAGGGATTTGTCTTTTGAATGTTTTCCTTAGACTTAATATTTTAAATTTTTCTTCAGAAAATCGCTCTTTACTGTAAAAAGTTAAGACCAGTAATGATGTTGCGTGCAATAAGGTACATAGCTTTTTCTTTAATTTGGTAACATTTTATTAGTTTTTTGAAAAATCTGGTGTTTACCAAAAAGTTCAACAAACAAAACATTTAAAAAAATCAAGAAATAAAACAAAATTTAACATTTAATATTAATATTTGGCAAAAATTAATTTTGCAATATTTGCCATCGAGAAATTCTGTCCCCATTAAATCAGCTTTATTAAGTACTGGCAATAAACCGATAATACCATTTTGAATGAACTTGAAACATGGAATCACTAGAAACGCCCGATTATAAACGGGACCATTAGTCATTTTATTAACGCAGGAAATTATTGAAACTAACTATCTTTTAAAGCTTTTTACAGCACCGGTAATCCTAACTAGACTTAACCGATTACTATGAATTGAGTTGACTAACTTTCAGATAAATCAAATAGTTGGATGACTAAAACGACGAATAATTATTATTATGCTCGATTCGAAAAAATTGAGTTAAAAGTGCAAATATATTGCTGATTTAGATTTTTAAGTCTCATAAAATGTTGAAAACAATTGTTGGAATATCTTATCCGATATAGTAACGTCTATTTCTTCCTCTAAGTAAACGTTAACAGTAAGCCAGACGATACGTGGGTGTATTTATTTGAACTAAAAATATCGTTATCATGGTTAAACAGTTCTTTTATGAATTTTAAAATCCTTAAAACGTCGACCTTTATGATCTACACGAAGATAATTTTCTTTAATAAACAGCCTCGCCTATTCGCAGTTTCCGCAGGTTAAAAATTACGTGTTCATACAGCACATATGTAAGTTACGTATAGTATTCCCTCCTAAAACGTGAAAAGAAAATGAGATACAATTATTACCATCATTAATAAATATCGCTTCTTACTAAATCAGAATTTTACAAACAAATACAGTCCAAACTCAACATGATATTCACTCGCATAGTTCGTGATACGTTAATGGAAATCATACCACTGAAGTATTTATCAATGAGTAATACATATTGCTGTTATTATACCAATTTCTATCTTTATGACTCTTCATATGAACTGATTACTTTACAAGCATATTATCGGCATTTGACGCAATTACTCATCATCTCTTTGTCGGTTCAAAGCAATAGAATATGAATCAATCGTTTAATTAAATGTTGTTTATACAAACCAGTTATAATTTAATAATATAAAATCATAATCAGGTTTTATTCATTAATCGCATTCTTTTTTTGGGAGTAAGCAATTAACAACACACAGTTAAATAGTTTTGAGTATTTTTCGTTTGCGCTTCATTACTTAAAACCCTTGCGATCCGAACTTTTGGAGTCGATCAAAGTTTTAAACACGTAGTTGCATTTTTTGTAAATTTCACAGTAAATCAAAATTAATTCGACTAAGTACTACTTGTTGAATTGCGTAACAATTGTGAACCAGAATGCTAAATCCTCACGAATTTAATCTAAAGATCCTAAATCCTTATTGGGTTTTTCATCGTTTTCGTGGAAAAATTCTACTGATTCCTGTTGAAACGCAACTAGCTTCTTCCACACTAACTGGAACATTTGCTTGCTCATGACCTAACTACTAGATAAATCATTAGAGTAAATATTGCGAAGGACTTGATATATTGACTTGAAAAAAATAGGCAATGAAAATCGAGATTGCCTTTTAGGAGCCAAATATTTACCAAACAGTAAAACGGATCCTGATAACGCACTGTTAATGTATTTTTCCTTTATTACAGGTATGACTCCATTCCGATTATAACACTTTGTTTACACTAATCACTGTTCTTAAGTACGTATGGACTTTCGACTAAACTTAAATCCATGCCTAAATCAATACTTGTGATTTCCAAGTGATCGAAATGATTGAAACCTCAATAAAATGCTCACATGCTGGAATCGATATGTGCCCACTCCAATCGGAGAACGGAAAAATCACAACTTTTCCTCAAGTGGTTAGTTAGACTTACACATTCCGAAATTACATTCTACTTGATGTCTGGAAACAACTGTGCAATGCTTTTCATATAAACATGCTTATTGTTCCATATACATACAAGGACATTTTCCAAAACATGGAATGAACTGTTTGTTCAGCCAGTGGCAATAATTTACTCTTGGCTACTTACTTGGGTAACGACAAAAGATCCTTTGAAACTGAACAACGGCTTATGGAACCAGTAAAACTGAGCCCTCAGCTTTCCCATGTCATCAGACACGCGAAAACTGTCGGCTAAAGTGGTAATCCAGTTCACCACTTCTTCATTGGCATAGGTGATAAGTCCTTGACCAATGTGGTGCTTTCCGTCCATAACAAAGTTCAAAATCCCGCGAACGGAATTTTCGGTTAGAAGCGTTTCTTCATCTAAATGAACAATCCAGTCGTTGTCGTTGAGAATGTTCACTTTGTCTTCCAAACAATACTGAAGCGCTCTGCAACAAGGGAATTCTCCAATTTATTAGAGGAAGTGAAAGTGGGCGAAACTGATAAATAAAACTAATATATAAAATTTTAAAAATCAAAGACTATGTTTTATGTATTCCCGCTTAAGCTCTTAACTTGCAGTTAGTTCAGCAGTTCGTTTCAAAGCCCACCAGGTAAAATTCAGCAAATCAGCAATATTTAAAAGTTGTTCCGTCAAGGATACAATTAAGAAAAAATTAATAAATTTGCATTATAATACATTGCAATTAATTTAACATAAATAATGTATAGATTTTGCGTTATAAAATAATTGAAAAATCCTAATTAGACAATTTGTATTACACAAACATATGAACTGTAACATAACTCTTTGTTCTGGTGTATGCGTCAAATATAAATGAGTACAATAGGTAATGAATACGTGATGGTTGATTAATAAATCCTTCTGAAAAGTTGCACTAATCAGTTGAGCAACTGATCATAAATGCGAACGATTCTTAGAATTTTTAAAGTTTCTCAACTTGTATTTCTGCAACTTTTAGATGGAGTTTCCCATTTGATGCCTTGCCTTTTGCGACAAAATTGTTATTTCAGATTGTTTGTTTTCAGTTCAAATACCTTCGTTTTTTCCCTATAGCTAGTCCGCATAGCCGCTTCATTTCTGCACAATTTTTCAGCCGAAATAGTTTGTTTTTCATGGACATGAAATGTGTTAAATTTTTGGTCAGGCGTATCTAGTTGAGGACTAATTTTTTTTGGTTGAAAAACTGGTTTAATGAGTCTATTGGAAACCCGGGACTATATGAGAGTTGAGGCTTCAGAAATCATCAGCTAACTTCAATGGAGCAAGAAAGCTCCAAGCAATCTTTAAGCGACTAAACAACTTAACTTAAACTTAGCTAATTTTCAGTTCATTATACAAGCCTGAAACACCTAATTAAGAACAATTTAAGCTCATGTCATATGCATGTTAAATAATTTGAACCTTAGCTTAGATAGGTGCAAATTAAGTAAATTACATATTACCTAAAATTGCCAACTATTCCACAAGCCAGGACGTTTAAATTGCTGACTTCACTACCCATATAAGCAACAAAACTGGTATCGGTATACCTACTAACAGGTGCAACATCTAGACAGAATAATTGAGCATGCTGTAACCAAAAAGCAAACGTGCGTCTATTCTAGTTTTCTATTGAGTTTCACCTCACTCACCTCGCCTTAAATAACGCCCCTGTTGTTGTTTGATAGTCTGTAGGAACAACCAGCTCTCGGACCTTTCTTTGGGGCTCTAAACCTATGGGTTTATCGGTGACAACTTCGATTAAAAAATTCTCCAAGCCTGAGTCTATGCACTTATTCATATTGCGGTTGACGTTGTTTTTTACTAGCTCTGGATAGTCGCCTCTTGTGACCACTCGGATACATACATATGGGGCTAGTAAAGGAGAGCCCTTCAAGGTGACTTTATCAGGGAAACAATTATAGAACGTTAAACCAATGACGTTGAAAATCACTTGAGGTAATGAGAGGAAAGTTACAAATCTCAGGGCATACAGTGTACAGGTTCCGAATACTCCATACTGAATCCAGGGGTTGTCTTCTTCAGCTGGATCATCAGGCACTTTAAGAACACTGGAAAAGTACTGGAATAGACACAGCACAGTAACGAAAAGTGTACAATGTAGAATATGCTTAATGCGGCTGCTGAGGGTGATGGAAAGGCAAGCTGACTTATTGGCGAAGTCCCTTGATAGCTTCATCCTGTTGTTTGTTGGATAATCCAGTCAACTTTAGTAAATTGTTGGGTTGAGATCGATAATCGCACTGGCAAACACTTTTAACCGGGTTTTGAACGTTACTATCGGCAGCTCTTTGTGATGACTATACATGAACAGTCCTGGAGCCTCTATTATTCAGTCGGAATAATACGTAAAGCCCATTCTAGCCCACACCACAGGTACACACTTTTCAGTTAAGCCAGAAATAGTCTTCGAGCTTTGTTGTTACTATCACTTTGACACTTGAAAGCTGACTGACTTGTCTTTATCTATGGCTGACTGAGCGTGAATCATGCGTGAGAGTGAGGAACATAGATAACGACAATACAAAGGTGTGAACAGACGCATCAAAGTGAAAGTGGGGGGTCTGAAAAACAGGGATAATTTATCTATTAATCTGTTTCAATGTTGCTTACTTACAATCAGCCATTGATATCTTAATAAAAATTAGCATTAACTCCTTTCCAACAGACCTCTTCCTTAAAAATTGTCCTCTTATTGATTCTTTGCCAAGAAATATTTTGAAACACACAATACTAATAAACTAATTAAAATAATATTTATAAAGCTTTGGAATAGTTAGATTATTTAAACTTTAAAAAACTTAAAGAAAGTAGATTGAATATATTTTTTTCTACATGAAATGGCGAAGTTAAAGGAAAAACATAATTAAGATTGAATTAAGACGTTTTGTACAAATAACCTAATTTCTAAAACTTCAATGTCCATGTCGCTTCCTCCAGACACTCTTTTGTTTAATGGCGGATGTTACGGAGTTGGGACCATTCGTTCGAAAAACAAATTCAAAGAATTACATGATTTTCCCCTTTTTTTGTGCTATAAACTCACACTTTTGTTCAAAGTGAAAGTGTTCCTTTTAGTTTAGTGTTTTTTGGTGTAATTTTAGCAAAACAGTGCGTGTTAAAATTGAAGTATTTATGACGGCGTTTACCAGAAACTTGACATGGTGAAAATGGTAATCACAAGTTACGATTCTGGACATTAAAGTGTGCATTTGCTGTTCACCAGGGAATTTGGAATTTTCTGCATGGAATTGACGCTTGATGGAGGATAGTGGAGGAGCGGTAATGGTGAGTGAAGTTGTTTGAATCTTAGTCATTTCACTACACTAACTTTAAGTAAGTAACTTCTTTAAACTTAAACTGCATTCATATCTCTTTGTTCACGCTGTTGTGGGTTCGATACATCCTAATCTGTGTTTTTAGGTCGTGTTAAAGAAATTTTAATTCACTACGGCCTAAAAAGCCGAAAAAGTCACCAGTTTTGTGATATGATTTGTACCAAATTAAATAGCAAATTAGTTCACCACAAATCACAAAGTGATTGCGGAATCAGTTCGTTGCATTCCTCGTTTCCCCTTGATAAAAACGATGTAAAATTCAAGGAAGTTCGAGATAATTTTTATTTATTTAAAAAAAATCGAAACTAAAAACCCTTATAAAATTTCCGGTTTAAAATCAAAATTTAGCATTCATGTTTTTTTGGGCTCAATTGAGTATTTGCGATCTGAGATGTTCCCGAGTGACCGCAGTGTGCATATGAAACTACGTGCGTCTATAAAACTGAAAATATCGTGACCGATGAAAGAGTGGTTCAAGAGAGTCAAAAAATGTCAATTATTTCGAATTTAAAGCATTTATCTTGTTTCTCAATTACATTTTGAGAGAATTGATATTTTTCATAAAATTGACCTCCAGCTTTTAAGAAATTCTCGGATAAAAATAAAAATTTGGCAAACATGTTTTTTGGGCTCAATGGATTATTTGCGTACATATTGAATCGTTTGAGTCAATAATATTGAAAATATCGTCGGTTAAACATTGTGACCTCTAAAAAAGCTGTTTAAAATGTGCCAAAAATGTCAATTATTTCCTATCTAAAACATCTAGCGTGTTTTTCATTGAGTTTTTTGCATTGATCCCTTCTTTGAGATGAAAATGAATTTGAGGCATTTTGAGAGAATTAATTCCGTCCAAAATTAATTTTTTCAAATGGAAACTCTATTTTTAATAATTTTATCTTATTCAGTATTTAAAATATGGGCAAGTTTGTGTTAGGTTGTCTATTCCAAAAGGGTTTAGTTTTCGAAATATTTTCAATTTAATGTTTTCATATGGCTACTTGCATCTGATTTTAAATGCAGTCACTCTCAGTAGCCATGACAAAAGTATCCATTTTTGGACCATCTTTGCTATTTGAATTTAGTCTCCCAAAATTCCTCAAATTGACTTTGTGCATAAATATTAACGAATAAAAATTAGCGAATTTATTAAATAAATTTGAAATTGGGCGGAAAAAACATCCTGTATGTGTCATTTTGACATTTACTTCATGACACCCACATGACAGCTCAAATCTGGTTGTCTAACTGATACCTATCTAAAATGTGAAGAAAATCCTGAAGAATTCGCGGAATTTTCGTTCATCCAATGGCAGACGGGGAGACCCGAAGAATGGGAGACGCCCCGATGCGAGACTCTCGTCGGAATGCGTGGAATGCGACTCCGGCCAATAGGAAGCCGGGTTTTGTGTGTGTAGTAAAGTAGCGTAAATATTAATACGGAACGAATGGAATACCGGAGAAGCTCCGTTGTTGTTTTGGCTCGATGGTGCCACAGCATGGTGCCGATGGTCGTAGTTTTCGCATGTCGAATGCACCCACGCAAGTGGGGTGCTTGGGTATTTTGAATATTCTCTGGCCTAAAATAGACTATTTGAAAATTATTTTGAATTCTTGATATAACTTTACCACATTCTCTAATTTGTGTAATTTAAGAGTCTGGGAATGAATATTAATAATTTTTAAAACGTAACTGACAGCTGTAAGTATTCCTTTGGCATTTGATTGTGATAAAAATGGCCACTTTTGACATACATGACAACTGAGAGTGACAGTATTTAAAATAAGATGCGACAAAATAGCCATATGAAAACATAAAATTGGCAATATTTCGAAAACTGAACACTTTTGGAATGGACAACTTTACACAAACTTACCATGATTTTTAATACGGGTCAAGCTAAAATTATCAAAATGGGAGTTTCCACTTGAAAAAATTGATTTTGGGAGGTTTTCTCAACGTCATTTTGAAACTAATTTTTTCAACATTTTGTAATAATAGATAACAATGTCAAAATTCTATTAAAGCAAAGTCTTTTCCGACAAGACATGCGATTTAAATTAAGTAGCACATGCTTCATAATAGGAAAAATTTATAATTATTCAATTGGCTGCAACTGTCATTTTTATGACTAAAAAGAATACAAAAAGATAAACAAAATTCAATTTGAAATCTACTTCATAAAGTCTGTAATTTTTGTTTGTACATTTCTGCTGCAAAAATAGATGTTATTTATGTAGTTTTCAA